CATTCTGCATTAACACTGCATATATTTTTTTAAATGATTATTTTTGATTTCTTTTTAGACATGGTCATTCAAGTACATTTGTACTGCAAACCAAGTACTGCATATATTTTTCTAAATGGTTATCTTTGATTTCTTTTTAGACATGGTCATTCAAGTACTGCAAGACACAAGTTTTCAAGTACTGGTACTTTTAATGTCTCAGTGAGCGTACAAAATATAATGTATGACGAACCAATCATGCTGCAGTATCCTTACAGCATCATTATTCAGGAACCAATCACGTATGCGGATGTGACACCGATGAACACGAACCATGCAGAGTTGTCCAATGATCTTAATGCTACAACACAGGTGATAGATTTCCAAGTATTCGCTGATGGGTTTCCGGTTGTTTTTGAAATTAATTATGGCGATAATTCTGCTACTGAAATAATAGTTGGAGAAATACGTACATATCTTGGTGTAGTTGTGACTGGGCATCATACATATTCCAGTGGTAAGTAATGTTTTAAATTAACAGCTTCAACCATACATACTATGAAAAAGCCTGTAAACGCAACTGTAGCAAAGATAACAAAAACGAAAGAGTGTTTGAATTGAATGTGCTGTTTCATCTTTATCAATCTTTCATTTTTATTTTTATTCTTTTTTTTTTTTAAATGTTTTTGAGCCAGGCGACAGTTCTGGACTGTGTTTTTTTTGTATGTACTAGTGCTGTCACATAGTGCATCTTTCATATTTTTCATCCAATTCATATTATTGATTGACATTCAGGCATTGTGATAATTAATGAAAGTATTTTCCCAAAATGCTATAAAAAAAAATTGTCAGCTAACTGTTGAAAGTAACCATAGGTTTTTTCTTTAACATGATCATAGCAAGTTACAAAATTCATAGAGAATGCTGAGGCTTGTTGATATTTCTGACTGTTGCTCAAAATTGTGCTTAATATTTTTTTATAATATTTATCAGTGTCAAGTTACCTAATTAGTATGCATTTCAAGAAATCAATGTGTGTGCATGCGCAGTTTAAAATTGAACAATTTTGAGCGCAATGAAATTATGCATAGAACTAGTAGCACTAAACACAATTTTTGGGCCTGTATATATTTTGTGATGTCTCTTAAGATGTTACTGACACTAAATACCTCATACTACATGCTTTTACTTACTTTGATGATTTATGTTTTTCAGAGGGAGAATACACAGTTTGTGTGACAGCCATAAACCTACTCGGTAATGTATCAGTCTGCATGATGGAGCTTTTTAAAGTTCAAGTTGCACCCCATGGATTGTCAACTGACAATACTCAGTACATTACTAGATTTGGGAATACCACTGATTTCCAGCTGTTCTTGGAAGGTGGAACTGATGTACATTTTGACTGGATAATGGGTGATCAGACTGTGTATGTTGATGCAGGTAGGAGGACAGATTTAGTCACTTGACTATAGATGTAAATGGCAGCTAAGTTTTTAAGTGTTCTATTCTCTTGTCATCAAGTCCACATTTCCAAATACTATGGATACATATATTTATAAGCGATGAAAAACTTGTCTTTTCAGTAAAACTGTGCCAACATGCTTTCCTGTAGCCAACATGGTAGTTATAAATTGACTCATTCTATGATAACAAGCTGAAAAATGATGTAAAATTAATGTGTTTTTAGTGACACATTTGTTATCAGACTCCAGCAAACGGTTGAAAGTATTGTGATCATAGCAAGTTACGAAATTCATGCAGAATGCGTTATTTCACTCTAGTACTGAGAGAAATCACAGTATGTGTGTATGCGCAGTTTGAAGTGAAACCATTTCGAATGCAATAAAATCATGCATAGAATTCACTCCAACCACAAACTAGTGGCATCAAACTGGTTGTCGGTTGAATTGTTTTACAACTGTTCGTTAAATGGATATTGTTGCTTCGACCATATGCTATGGACTGAATTTGAAATATTCTATCTAGATAGAACATAGGTCAGGGAAACATAGGTTACATAGGTCAGGGGAACAGTAACCATAGTGACGGAAAAAAACAAAAAATAATTGAGGGGTAAAAATAAGTCTTGCTGCTCTCTTGCTCGTCAAAATCTATTTAACAATGTGAGTGCCAAAGTCAACTTCAGACTACATTTATTTTAGTTACATTTATAGTCTGCTCTTTTCCATGTGAAATGTTAAACAATTTGTTTGTTTGGTCCAGAATTAAGATTGAATTCAGTGAAAATTACCAAAATTTAAGCAGGTAAAAATTTGGCACTTGTTGACTGCTCCAGAATTTTGTGGTTATCCATTGGTGTAGATTTTTATAGCCATGCACGGAATCAGTTATTTTTGCATAGTTGAAGTAATTCCATGATTTTTGTTCATTAACAGTATGACTATGTTTGTTTTAGGTACGAGTGTCAGTCACCACTACTTGACGGATAGTGACTATGTTGTTACAATAACAGCTTACAATGACGTAGGAACAATATCCACACAGGTGTATGCATCTATCTTGAGTGGTGTACAAGGTAAAAAATTATTGTATTGTTATGTATTACATTGTTATCTCATCACTGTGGACAGCATGTTCAGTTTGAGCTAGAGATGTTGCCAAAATACTAGTTATACCGGTAAATAGAACATTTATGTGTCAGACACCTCTTTGATGGGAATAGTATTAAGCATATCGTAGAATTTCTGATATTGTTGCTGCCTTTTTTCCATAAAAAACATACTATTTGCAAAGAGTATCTGATTTGCATTGACATTCTTTTATATCATATCAGCTTGCTGTCAGAACAAATAAATAATACATTGATTATGTAGATTGAAACCAATGAGATGTATATTTTGCAGGGGTTGAAGTAGAAGTTGATAAAGATTTATGGTCAACTGGTTCTGATGTAACATTCACAGCAGTCACATTAACAGATGCAACCCGCTGGTTTATTTGGGATATGGGAGATGGTAGTAGTACCTCACAGACTGTAATTAATGAGAAGGTGTATACATACACTGGTTCAGGAATGTAAGTATTGGTTATTAATACATGGTGAAAAAAATATCTTGTGTATCATTACAGCATTGCAGTTTAGTGTGATAAAGGTGTGCAATAATCTGATTGCCAGTGACTTTGGGTGGGCATTTGCCCGGGCATGGGTGCTTACCCGGATAAATACGGTATATCTTTTGAAGGTTTGCTTGCAATTATAGTCATTCTACATAATTCCAGTTGTATCAGCCAAAGTTTTAAGTTTTATTTACAGACCAGCCAATTCTTCTAAATTCAACTTGAAGCAAAGTAATTTCTTTCTACTATGCCCACTATAGACTTGGAACAAATAAAAAAATGACAACACACATTTAATAAGGTTGATCAGATCACGTTATTCCTTCATATATTCAGTTTTTAGCTCCGCTGTCGACTTTGTCGAGCGGAGCTTATCATGAGTGATTGTCCGTCGTCGCCCGTGTCAATGTTTTACTTTTTCGACTTCTTCTTGAAAACTACAAGCCTGAATGCTTTGATACTTTGTATATGTACCTTGGGCAGACCTCTCTCAGATTTGTTCATTTCATGATCATATCTTCAATTCTCTAATTTTGGTGAATATTTTTGTCATTTTTGGTAAAAAGTGATATTTTTTTCTTCTTGTTAAAAACCACAAGTCCAATTGCTTTGATATTACATATATAGGTACTACATGTGGACCACTCTCAAATTTGTTCATTTTGTAATGATATCGTCAATTCTCTAATTTTGGTAAATATTTTTGTCATTTTTGGTAAAAAGTGATATTTTCTTCTTGTTAAAAACCACAATCATTTATGGTGAAAATGATATTTTTGAATTTTTGTTGAAAACAGCAAGTCCCATTGCATTGATACTATGTATATTGTTCATTTTATAATGATATCTTCTGTTCTATAATTGAAATGTGCATTGCAAACAACGGAGCTATCTCAGCCAAGAGGCTGCTTGTTATATACTTTTAGAACAATTCTTTTTTCAAACTAGGTAGCAGAAATAACAGAAATATTTTAATGATTGATTTTGCCTGCTGAAAATTAAACACCTTATATATTATTACATCATGATTGGGTGAAATTGCACATTTCACTTTCATTTCCTATCAGTATCTTTTATTTCCCTGAGATTAATATCAACAAATATTTGGTCTGCTGGTCTCTTCATCTGTTTATTCCTGTTACTTTTTAATTTCCAGATTCTATGTGAGTGTGACAGCAGCAAACGCATTGAGTAGTGTGACTTCTCCACCAGTTGAAATTCACATTGAATCAGCTGTGGATGACTTGGACATATGGATTCATAATAACCCAACTCTGATTGGCTCAGCAACAAAATTCTATCCTGATTTGTTTGCTGGCAGTGACTTGACATTTGAATGGGATTTTGGTGATAACCAATCACTGTCTACCAATGAATACAGTGTGGAACATAAATATACTAGGTATGTTTTATCACTCCATTTCCTACACAAATCTTTTATGATAATTTCGGTATATGATTCATATTCTCAGCAGGTGTGTATATCTTGTATGGTTTTCATAACAAATGCTTATTGAGTTAACCTTTTCACTATCAGTTCCCTTTTTTCCATCACAATTTCACAATATAGTCCTGTTTATAGTCTGCACGTTAACCTTTTCACTATCAGTTCCCTTTTTTCCATCACAATTCACAATATAGTCCTGTTTATAGTCTGCACGTTAACCTTTTCACTATCAGTTCCCTTTTTTCCATCACAATTCACAATATAGTCCTGTTTATAGTCTGCACTTTCCTTCAGAATATTGGAACAATTTTTCCTAGGATGAGAAGTAAACTTCTTTTTAGCCTAACCTGAATGTTCTGATTTTTGAATATATTTTTTTGTGTTTGGGATTATATGCTCCAGTAAACTGGTATATCGTAGAAATGTTCATTTTTAATCCCTTGTATGGAATAAACTGGATACACATCTCTTGTTTGTACTGTCATGTACAAAAAAAGCCATACTGAAGTATAAAACTGAAAATTGATTTTTTTCCCCATATTTTGTATAATGATTTGAAACAAATTTAAATTTACTATCTCTAAGAATTAATTCTCTATTTTTTAGGATTAATATGCCATTTATGCAGACTTTCTAGAGGTTTACTGACCACATATTCATTTGTTTGAATGTCTCATTAAAGTATTTGGCAGCATTGTAAGGGTTAAGATTCCTATCAAATATTCTCACATTTGTATGCTACTTTACTACTTAGAATATTTCATTTTTTCTTATCATACCCTTGTTTCCAATGAGAATTTTTAAAAATTATGCAGTATGTGTTGATCATTAATTCATCACAAAAGAATTTATGAAAACATGGTTTGATAGTCATCATATACAAGATACCAGATTCAAATCATTCTTTTTTGTTTTTCACATTTTTGTTTATTTTTTTCATCTTATCAGTGCTGTTTGTTTTTCTCTGTTTTGTTTCTTCATTGTTGAATTATCTGTCACCGTAACGTCATAAGTTACAGTGTGCCGTAATTTTGCATTACCTTATGGGGTATTTTCATCCTACCATATTAGGAAATGTGAATTCCAGATACATGTATGGAATGATTACGCACATAAGCGTCTAGGGTTTGACGGGACTCCACACAAAGAAGTTCGCTAAATCTGTTCTAATTTTTTTGGATTTCGGCATTCCCATGATGCATTTTTGGAATGAAAAGATGTATGATAATAAGGTTATTACGAGGATACCTCAAAGTATGCACTCAGACAGTACAGCGTCACATCGACCTTCGCTGCGTGTCAGTCGATACTCCCACTGTACTGTTTTTGTGCATACTCTGAGGTTTCCTCGTAATAACCTCATATTATTACAACATTTGTATTCTCTAAGTCAAGCCTACGTCACAAACTGGTCAAAATCCCCAAACATTGCCAGCAACCAATCACAGACTAGCTTAAACAATAGCTTTCCCTGACGATAATACTTAGCAACGTTATTTCCCCCACGCTAACTTGAAAAATCTTTTGTTTTAGTCTCGTTTCCGTTTCCGGTCTGTCTTAGAGAATGTGTGAGTTCTCAAACATGTTGTGATATTCCTGTTAAATTGTTTTCTTTCGTATTTCTACAGCACTGGTGAATATTTAGTGACCTTATATGCACACAATAGAGTAAGCAGTGCAACCATCCAATCAACAGTGTTCATATTGGTTGAGATGTGTAAACCACCATTGTTGATCATTCATAACCCATATTCAAAAGTAGGTTATTTTGAAACATCTTTTGTAATACTTTCTATATATTATAACATCCCCACCGTGCGACATACATGACAAATCCAAAATCTATTAAATAGTTTAACCACGTACTACCAGACTTATTTTCATTTTCATGATACCAAATAATTAATAATAACAAATTCAAAACTTGTATCTGTATTTCATATCAAACTAAGAGAAGATATTATTTTTGATTTCATGAAAATATTTTTTTTATTGGAATCAGTAATTGTAATTCACAAATTACACAGGATTCACAGTAAAAGGAAAATCACCTATTTACAATATATTTTCAGTGGTTGAGATGTAAAGACATACACATAGAAGTAGATGCAACTATTGATTGTGAAGTGACTGCTCAAACTAACTATAGATGGAGTATTTTACAAGATAACCAAGAGATCACATTAAATAATGAAGCTATATTGTATCAGAGAATTTTATTCATCCCAAGTAAAACATTAGACTATGGTACATATACTATGAGCTTAAAGGTGGGTGTGATTACTTTGTTACAGTGAAAATCACTGCAGTTTGACAATAGACACCATTTTTTTAATTAAATGAGTCAAAAATGTGTCTAGCCATAACACACACTGACTCAAAGAATGTCAGAGACAATGTAGTCCCTGACTATTATAAACATTTAGTGTTGATTACTCTGAATGTAAAAAGTCACACTAATCATCATATGGTGTTGAAAAGATCTGGGGTAATTGCTAAACATTGTACAATAAATTATCTAACAAAAACCACATGTGTCAGTGTTTACATAAAAAAAAAATGTTCAAAGAATGATTGAAACTGTCTCATGATGCTGAAGAGGACTTAATGCAAAACAGGTTATGAAAAGACTGTGCGATAGGTTCTGTCAATTTATGATGTAGTTGAGATAAGTAGATATTACAAAACAACTTGTATTTTAAATTCCTTTTTTGTATTTTTGCTTGTGAACATCTGCAATCTAGCCAAGTTACCATTTATATATTGGGTGTGATACATGTAGCTCCACCCCTCCACTTCTTAATACTTAATACTTTACCTTGTCTCTGTCTGTAGGTTGAAATGAATAGTACTATAGTGTACTCCATAAAAGAGACAATAGTGGAGGTGGTTCCTACACCATTGGTAGCCATTATTGCAGGAGGAACAAGTCGTGTTGTTGGTAGTGATACAATTGTACAGTTGGATGCTACTTCATCCTTTGATCCAGATTTCCCTATTGAAGGAGGACTCAGGTATTATAGCTACCTTTGTAATCCTCAACTCAAATCAAACGTTGTTACTCTTCACAAATGTGTATGCATCCAAGTATGTTTTGTTACTAGTAGTCAATCGTAGGGACAAATAATCACCAAGATGACGATGAGAGATATACTGACTTTTTGACAATGATTTTGCCTCTTACATTGTATTTCATTATTTCATATTATTGTTTTCACTATACTCAAATAACCATGGTTACATAGATGAGTAGAGGTGACGATGGGGAGAATGCAACCTATTTGAGGGGCAAAAAAGATGTCATTAGCCATTCACAACTATGGTATTTAATTTTTTAATACAATGAACCAGTTGGTGAAAGTAATTTTGTTTTGATTATGAAATCAACTAGTGATTGAATGTTTGTAATAATGTACATTTTCTTGTTTTTTTTACTATTCCAGCTTTAATTGGACTTGTAGCCTTTTGACGTCTCCAACTGTTTCATGCTTTAAGGAAGAGTTACTGGCTAACATGTCATCACCACTAGACACCAATGATAGCTCTATTTCATTCTCAACTTCATTGCTTCTTCAAGATCCTTTAGTTTCCCTGGTCTTCTGGTTAAGAGTTAGCAAAAATGGACGTGATGATGCATATACAAGTCAAGTATTGGAAGTTGTACCGGGCAAACCACTCAAGTATGTTTATTTATGATTTGTAAATTGTTTCATACACTGCCCAAATGATGAAATAAATCATCCCCCAAATGCAGTCTATTCATACACAAAACTGTCTCACCACAAGCGTTACATGTGAGTTCCACAGTAATCAGGCAATCATGTAACAAAATATTATACAGAGGGTACACATATTGTCATATATAATACAAATGAACAGGTTTTCATTTTTTCAAGAAAATAAAGGAGTGGTCCAACTAATTAAGTTTTTATAGTAGTTTTGAAATAAGCATTAGTCATACATAAATCAGCTATACATAAATTTGAGTTCAAGGTCCTTCCTATATCGATTATTAATAAAGATGAATACAGTAATTATATAATTAGTTATTATTTATTTCAGTGTGATGATGAGCTGTCCTCTGTGTTGGAAAGATGTTAATGCTAATAATGAGTTGACATTCAATGCTGAGTGTGTTGATTGTTGGGATGATGTTACCTATACATGGACAATGTTTGTTGTCCTTGATGGTAGTGGTACTAATTCCTTACCAGGTTAGTACTAGACCCATTAAATTATTAATATATATGCTGCTAAAATCAAACCATGCATAGACCATTGTAGCGGGGTATGCTACTGAATCAGGAATCTTGTAACTATCAACCAATACTGTATTTGGTAGATGATAAACACTATGCAAATGTAACCATATCAGTATTCAAAACAGAGAATACCCTTTTATTCCGACAGTAACAATGGCTGCACAGCACAACTCAAACGTGGACAGAGAAGAGAACCGAACTAGAAAATTCAAAAACGTCAGCCTAAACTTCTGATTGGCTGTTACATAATGCCTCGCTCTGGCTAACACTCCATATTTGGAATTGGCTTAAAATAGCCGGACGATAGTAGTTTCTATTGTATCGTAACGTAATTGCTATGGTGGTAGAAATACACTAAGCTAGCAACTTTGACAGTATAATAGAATAGAAATGTATAACGAATATTATCAACGATGATTCATACAAATAAAACATAACTCATAATGATAATTGCATGTAGCAAACAATGGAATAATTCCAATTGAAATAAGCATAATTACGAATCTGGTCATTAAATAACAACTATCTCATATATGCACAAGGTGCAGCGATAACCATAAACTGACCAATTGATACACTTTATACTATTGTATGGAAAATCAACTCTCTCATAAACCAGGTTCTGTTACTCTTATTTTAGCATCTCATCGTTGTGTGACTGCCGATGGAAGAGACTACGTTCAGCTAATTATTTATCCGAATATTACAGATGAGTCTACAAGCATGTCAAATGCAATAGGTAAATAATTATGCTTCCATCACCAGTATTTCATATATATGTATCTCAACATACAGTCCTACAGCAAAATTTCAGGAAAACCATAAAATTGTAATAATTGAAACAACAGTACCTCAAAACAACTACTTTATTAGCTCATGTGCTTAATATGTAAATGACAGAGTTGTCTATGCTCAAAACAACTACTTTATTAGCTCATGTGCTTAATATGTAAATGACAGAGTTGTGTCTATGCTCAAAACAACTACTTTATTAGCTCATGTGCTTAATATGTAAATGACAGAGTTGTGTCTATGCTTAAAATAACTCATATTTTCATCGTCCAGTGTACAATGAATGTAATTATTGGTTTATGTGTGATTCTGTTAAAAGTGTGCTTCTAATATAGCAAATAAAGTATGTTTATTTGTTGTTCAACCTATATGATTTGTAGTAAAACCTTATGTAATGGATACGATATTTGGTGCCTTCAACTGAATTGTGCATTGGAAAAGTCTGAGCTTGCAAAAAACAAAGCCAAGAAAACATGTCTTCAGTTCAAGAAGTTTTATAGATATCCATTCCCAGTACATTAATATAGATTTTAATTTTACAGATGGCAATGCAGTCTATGATGATGGTAGTGATTATTCTGGTCCATATTCTAACATTATCTATGATGGAGATGTTGATAATACAGGGAATCCTAACAGTGAGGTTACACCTCAACCCTTTGGTGGTAGTGGTGGTATAATTGATGCTGAAGAACAGAGTGAAGAGCCCAGAGGTATTAAAGGGCATCTTGTGCTTGCCACCATCATTGTATTCAATTTATCTCTTATCTTTTTGTTTTGAACTAATGAATTAACCATACAGAAAAATGACAATAATATGGATTTTAATCAATTTTGCTGCTAAGCAACACTGTTAATATCCTGCTATTCACATTGAAATAGTGCACTGTGTACTTGATAATACTACCGGGTATATATAGTATGTAATGTTTAAACTTGAATTTCATACTAGGCTCACCTTCAGGTTGATTCTTGAATTATGAACTAGTACTTGTCATATACGAGTATGTAATTATGTGATATTGTGTTTATGATAAAAAGGGGATTCAAACAGCAACATTGGTGGAGGCGTGGTAGAGGAAGAAGAAGAAGATGGACGTGGCACTGGAAATGGAGATACAGGCAGTGAGTTCAATACTACTAATAAAAATGATCGAGGAGTTAACAGATATGAACTCAAGGGGGTAGATTTTGAATAAAATGTACACAGTTAATTTAAAAAATAACAATACCCTCCCCCCCGGAGTTTGTAATGGCCAACCCCTTATCATTAGTGAATAAAGAATGACACACAGTCCATTATTGCTTGATAATAAAACAAGGATGAGAATATGTGTTATAATAAATATAACATTATAAATAGACAGCAAAGGGAAAATTTCGCTACTTCAATGTTTATATCAAACTCATGACAATTCATTTCACAAAATGGTGTGATCAAAATGAACACGTGCATAATAATATTAATAACAATCTTTATTTTATTCTTCTTTGGTTTGTAAATAATAAAGTATTTTTTTTATGTTAGTGTAGTGTTGGTATAACTGAGTAGTTAAATTAGTGTTTTTTTAGCTCCGCTGTCGACTTTGTCGAGCAGAGCTTATCATATGAGTGATTGTCCATCGTCGTCCGTCGTCGTCGTCTGTGTCAATGTTTTACTTTTTCGACTTCTTCTTGAAAACTACAAGCCTGAATGCTTTGATACTTGGTGTATATGTACCTTGGGCAGACCT